TGCGTACATGTGTGCTACTCAATACGGTGATAATAGTGTCCAGCTTTCTGTTAAGACATGGTGATCTAGATATTTGTGGTTCACAAAGGGGTGGTTTTTTTTAAAACCACATTTCCTAAAAATTAGTGAGCATTTCTAGTTTGTGCAGCAGTGAAATATGCAAGTAAAATTCTAAGTCACAAAATATAACTAATTAACTATTGTCAAGCATGTGTACAATAGCAGTCTAATTAAATAAATACAATAGAGCCACCACAATGTACTGCAAAAATCACACCTGAAAGACTACTTCAAACAGCCTATATTTACATGCTCATAGAGGGCACCCAATTTATTACAGTGCATCCATTATTTAAGAATATTAAATATTGTCCAACTGAAACGAAACTGATAAGTTAAAGTTTCATGGTCTTCTGTGTTACAGTTTCTCAATCAGAAAATCTGAAAACCTATCAATAATACCAGAAGAGCTAGATGCTGTTCAGGTAAATTGTAGTTAACAGTCAAGTGTCAGGCTGTGAAGGGACTCATTCAGAAGGTTAATGGATTAGCTTAATTAAACATACCCCCTGTAAAACCCTGAAAGCAGGGAGGAAGTGAAATCAGTTATGCTGGTAACTCAAGTGGCAGTGTTGCTCCTTCACCAGATACTAGCAAGTTGTATAGGAGGATGTAACTTTCACAGAGCCTCACAAATACTGAGCTCTTAAATGCTGCACTCCAGGGGACAACCACAGACTACAAATGTCTCCCTATGGGTGTGACTGATTGTAACCCCTGTTTTGGCTCAATTTTTATGATGTGCCTTTGTGTGAATGTGATTTTATGTCCACTGAAAATGGAGAGCTCTCATCTTGCGGATGCTACCAACACCTGTGGCAGGGCCAGGTCTAAATGACAATAATTTGGGTTTATTATAGTATAACTATAGATATTGCCTGAGTTACCTTCAGTCCCTTTGTGCTCTAATGCAAGATTCCCTCTCCTATTCTTCTTGCTGATAAATTGTAATAACTGTTATTACAATCTTAACAAAAGACCAGTAATTTGTATATTGCACAAGTACCCAAACCATTATCAATTAAGAAATGTGGTTTGAAATGGTGGCCACAATTCTAAGATTTATCTTACACATTCTAGAATATTAGTTTTAGTTATAAAACTATGTGTAAAAATATAAGTTAGGTTTTCCATCAGTAAATTTCATAGAGTTCTATTCGTAATAATTATTTACAATTCATAGCAGAAGCGTTTTTTAATGAACATCAAGTGGAGCAGTACTGCTTGGCATCAAATGTTGGTAGTACAATATAATTCACATCACAATGTTTTTTTATGACCTGCACGATCTACTTAAAACTACCTGTGTATTATGCTGACAGATGTATAAATTGCCTTTGATGCTCTTGGCACATAAACCATTATTATGTGGAATAACTGACCTTTTATTAATGCTTACTTTAATTATTTGGGAGAGCAACATATCATACATGATTCTGTGAGATTATTCAAACAAGCAATTTTTTTTTTATATATATAGGCGCATGTGCACACCGTATCATTCAAATGGTGATATTCAAGAATTTATAGGTTTTACTGACCTTTTACAATTCCTATGTGAAAGGACAAGGACGAAAAAAAAAACCCATAAAAGCAACAAACCAAAAATAAAAATACCAAACATATTCTCCTCCTTTGCCAAAATCTTTTCTCTTACTGGTTGCCCAAATGTCAATGTCCTGTGTAAGAAAAGTCAATAATAATAAAAAAAACAAGCATAAAATGTTCATAGGACTGTTGGGTGTTTCACCAATAACTATGCTGCTACTAAGCTTTTTTAAAAAATCAAAATATAATCAAATACATTCTGGAATGGCAAATGAATGGAGGAGACAGGAAGCAGCCAAAGATGGACTGAGGAGAAAGAAATGACTGAGATATGTTCAGGTAAATTTGTATAAATTTAATCAACAAATTAAAAATAGTTGAGAAGCCAATACAAATACAGGTGATTTGACAAACTATTTATGCTTTGCTCAAATAACTTTTTATAATTCTACCTGAAACTCTTGTCACACTTGTTCCTCGGCTAGTCTATCCATTGTACTCTATCAGTTATTATCCATTTACTGTAGAACACCCCAACCCCATTAGTCTGTGAAAGATGCCCATACCTGTGCAGAGGGCCAACACAAGACCATGTGGTTTTAATGGTACATAGATTCTGGACATCTTTATGAGACTGACTGAAGTAGCCCTGTGTGGCTCCAGCAGGCTCCTGCAACAGGAACGAGGAACAAAGACTCTGATAGAAGTAGGTCCTCTGACTCCACCCCTTTCCCTGATGCAGGAGCCCTCTCTTTGCATTGTGTATACACCCCCTGCACAGAAACCTCTTGCACAGTAAGAGCAGAATTTGTCTCTAAATGCCTATCATTTATTTGATATATACATTAAGACACAGATCCTACTCCCCTTGAAACTAAAAAAATAAAAAAAAATATTCACACCATCCAATGCTGCAAAGCAACTGCTCCAACACATGTTCTCAGAAATTATCTCGTTTTAATATATCTGTCCTGAGCAAAGAATGAACCAACAGACAAGGGAAGCATAGTGAAAAATCTCTGAACAATTTCTTAATCACCTGGCTCATTCATGACATTTCATGCAATACAACTTTCCAGATTCCCAGAGATATTATTTCATCTTAAAGAAAAATTATTTATTTTGTAATTTTTGTCTTCTGTGTTTGGAATACTGTGGAGGGGAAATGCAAAAACACAAAAAATAAAGGAACCCAACATTAATGCCAGTGGCAATTCCATAACTACATGAACATGGTTGCATGCCAAGTAGAGGTCCTGGCCAGGGTAAAATAGGGTAGAACATAAGAACAGACGTGACAGCAGAAGAGGAGGAAGATTCAGGGTTTGGAGAGGACACTCTCCTACCTGGTAGCTTCTTGTTGAAAACATTAGTTGAATCTACATTGCACCAACAAAGACCATAAACTGACTTTAAAAACTAGTTAATCCCCAGATGGATGCTACTTGGAGACTGGATAATTTAGATAATTAAGGTTCAGGGAGCATGTTGGATTTCTGGCTCTCTGAGAGGCAGGGCCAGACCACAGCTCTTGCATTAGGTGAGTGCTTAATGGCTGTATGTACCCCCCACCTAAAGTCCCCTTATTCTCTCCCAGCTGCCACATGATCTGCCTATTCCTATGACCTGATCCCAAAGGACAGAACCCAGGAATGTGGAAACAGGTCATATCAGGTGCTAAGTCTAGGAGCAGCCAAGACTGGGCACAGAACCCAAAGCGATTCTATGGTGAGGTACGACTGGTAGCCCATGGAAGCAACTGAGGAGCAGGAGGGCTCTCTGCCTGCTTCAGGGAAGGGGAACAGTGTTTTTTTGTGGAGTTAAGGAGATGGAAGGGGCTGTGTGTTCAGAGGTATCAGGAGCAGGAAGGGACATCAAACTTCTGCCGAGTATAGTAAAAGAGGCAAAGACACGGAATACCAGGACTGTATATCAAGGACTTGATTTTTAGCTCTTGAATGCAGAACCCTAGGGAAGAATTTGCTTGTCTTAAAGAGTAGCTATATGTGACAGGATTTCTCTGCCATTTATAATGGTTATCCCTTTACAAATATTTAGGACTCAGTGCACTGTTGCCCTGCACCCTGTGTGCCCATTTACACCATCACAATGACCGCCCTGCACCTTTAAGTGGGGGTAATTTGGCTGGGTGGCTGAGTGAATGGAACAGTGCTTTATGGATTTGGGGTGGGGAAGGGAATAGGGATGAAAACTGTTGCAAAAAGGGGTCAGCATGGTCACTGACTCATCCCCTAGGAATGCAGGATTTAAAAGGGGCAGCTCTGGGCCTGAAGCCACCCTTTTACATGGAGCAGTCTGAAGAAGGATCCACCCTCCCTCCCCTTTAGGTGGTAAAATACCAGGTTTGGTCTACACCTGCTGTAGGCATTATGCTAGTCGCTCCTTTTTTAGGGGGGCTGGGAAGGAATTTTTCCTTTATCACCATATTGGTCTGGGTGCAGTTGGGGTTTTTTCACCTTCCCCACAGTGGGTTCAGCAAGGGCTCTGTTCATGCATGGCATGACGGGCAGTAGGCTATATGTCGCAACTCATTTTTTAAGTGTAAGGCGGATGTCCAGGGCAGGTACTCCATAGGGAAGGTATACAGTAACCAGATAAATGTTTTGGAAAAGGACTTAAAAGAGATGTTCATTAAAGGAATGAATAGGGGAAGTTGGGGACTCCTATGATTGATATGGCAGGGAGTCAACCCCCCATTCTTATAGCCCACCTTAACCCTCCTACGAGGGGGATGGATGGTAAATTCCTAGCATTGGATTTTCTGAGGGACCTGGATGGAAAAAGAGGGGGAGCTGGTGGGAGCCCCTAGGTATGATAAGGTCCCAGCAATAAATTTGCTGGATGGACTTGGATGGAAAAAAGAGGGGGAGCTGATAAAAGCCCCCCAGATAATTACAGCATAAACATGGGGTTACCTGCACTGTATAGTTTTATCTGCTGGGTAGTCCCTGATATCTAATAATAAAGTTGCATCCATGTCAAATGTCTCTTGTCCTTCTTTCGGCATAGCCGGACAATGAGCTGCACAACTGAGCTCTTAGCAGTTCTATAAAGGTTAGTACTTTGGAAGCTATACTTAAAAAAAGAAAAAAAAACACAGAGAAGCATCTTTTGTAACCAGGAGTGTTAGATGCAAAAAAATAATCTTTTCTCTTTGAACAGTGGCTTGCAAACATTTGTTAAAGCCATTTTAAATAGCATTCCGATGGTACTACAATAATTGCATAGTGTTCATGAGTTCTCTATGTGGAAGGACTTTTTAAAAGGTGAACTTTGAACAGGAAACATACATGGAAGACTTTGTTTCACCAAACATGGGGGAAGAGAGAGAGTTTGGCATTGAATGTTTTTATAGACTAGTAGGGACTTACTTGAGACAAAGCAGCATCCCGTTCTTCTATCACTGCATTCATTTCCTCAGCTGTTATTTTCTTTCTACGCTCCTTGGTCCTGTGTATTCGATCCACAATTATAGCTCCATTCTTCTGTATAGCTATCCCTGTGTCTGCATTGTTTATTCTGTTCAGTAATTCCTGTAATGTCTACCAACAGCATTATATGTTAGTCAGACATGAAGTTTTAATATATTTTATTTAATATAGGGTTTTAATTAATAGGCACATGTGAATTGTAAATTGACTGAGTGAAGTTATTGAATTTTCATATTGCAGCAAAGATGTACATTATTAGTGTGTCAATTCTTCTTTTTTCCCACATCTTAGTTCTTGAAACCCACTCAATTGAACTTAAGCCTCTAAGATATAAGACTGACATCAAGAAATCTCCTCAGAGAATGGCTTACCATGTCATTTTCTTCAGGGTTAATATTTTCTAGCCTAGAAAAAAGGGACACAGAAAGCCTGATCAGTAGCATTTCCTTAGTGCAGCAAAATGAGTTCGCTTTTTAAATCTTTAGAACCTCAAGTCATTTCATTCTACTAGTCTTTAGAGTCAACCATGACACTGAACATATTAAAGTGACACCTGCTAGACTCCATCTTTCAATAATGCTCCATATCTTCAGCACTGACTTCAGACTGTTAAGTTATTAATGTTTACTGCTATATATGACTACAAGGATCAATTGTTCATATGTGCTTAGATGAAGAAAGTTCCCTAGTGATAGAAGGCATTGGTGCTCTTATTTTATTTTTTTCTGGACTTACAACTTTAACCTGAAATTATATTTGTGTTGTCTTTATTGCACCCCAAAATGCAATGGGACAGTAGGTTTGTGTGGGTGGGTGGGGAGGGTGGGGAGGGTTGGGGTTGGGTTTGTTTTAACAAAATGTCATTCTTCCCCTCCACCTAGGAGGACAAACATTTTAGTTAAACCTCACTTAGAAATTTGGTTTTATCCTATCACAAAATATAGGAGTTAAATTAAGCCTCCGGTGGTGCCCTTCCTTAATTCTGGAACAAAAATATTGAACTCTTTCCTTCTTTGTTTCACTGGCACATTTACTCATATGTAAAGAAGCAGTAAACAGTTTTACTGCTTTGCCGAACAACTGCTATTGTGCTCTGCAACAGCAATGAGTAATAGCACAAATTTCTGCATACAGAGATGATTAAACAGGAAATTACACTTTTTTCTATAATAATTAACAAGTTAATTATAATTAATATCGAAACATCTGATTATTTACAGAACATTTGGGGGTCCAAAATACAGAGATTAATACCTTGTTAAAAATTAAGATTAAACATTAAAGAAGTGCAGCCTCTCCCAGTTCATGGCTACTTAAGCAAGTGGTGGATCCAGTACATATTAAGTAGCTTAAGAAAAAGCAGTTCTGGCAGAGACTGTAATGTAACATTTCAAAAACAGTTACTGCAATCATCACACTTCCAATGTCTGCCAAAGAACTAGGTGTAATTTGTACTGTGATGCTGTTGTCAGAGATCACCCTTCAAACATCCCTGTGCCACACAGCAATTGACAGTGTACTAACCCTGTGCCTTTGAATGCACTAGTCTTCATGACCCTAAATATGGCATAGCCTCTTACGCACACTAAGCTAGGAACTCAACCCATTCCTGCCATCTGACCTTTGACATTTAATACTAGTGCAGTTACCTAGTATCATAATTAGTGAATTTCCTCTGTGTTTTTTGTTCAATTTGTACAGGTTCATAGTCAGACAAAGTCACCTGAATTCTTGTAATCACGGGAAGCAATTCAGAAAGGAATGCTCTATTGCTGCTGTGCAGTGGAAGACATTTATTTGGGAGGTTCTGAGCAGATGGTATTCCTAGCATACCCCAAAACAATAAACATGTGCTGAGTAGGTTTGAACCTTACTTCTTTGATGGGATTTGACCTTATTAACAAGTTTACACACAAAATGTAAACTCCAGCCTGAACTCTCACTCATAGCTTAGTTATTCCTAGAGTTACTCCTTTCAAACAGGTCAGTCCAAGCCCCTAGATTCCTCTGACTAATGCGGCCATCATCATTTCCAGAGCAGGCAAATGATCTACACCTGCCACTGTGAGTCAGCAGGATTCAACTGGCAGCTCCCTATGCGTTTCCAACACCTGCTAACAGGGTGGGTCAACGGTAGAACCCAGCCGACTAGAAGGGAAAAATGAGTATTATTACCCTTTGTGGGTAAGGCTATCTCCTAAATCTGATTTTGGGCCAGATTTATGGGCAATGATACTTAAGTAACTTGTAAAAATCAATTGACTAACAGAGCACACATTAAAGGCAGCCATACTATTGCAAGGGATCTAGTTTTATTTTAACCCATTGGCCAGTGGCAACTGGCATTTCCCAGCTTTATTCTCTAATGCAATCAACAAGTACAAACAACAAAGCATGAATGCAAATTGCCAACTCTCAATACCAAGAGGTTGAATACAAAAGTGGAAAAATAATGGGGGCATTTCAGTCTGGAAAAATGCAGGTTGTTTACTGTGTAAAAATCAGCAGCGCCACCAAGAAAAAAGTTTGTAAGGGAAGCTTCATGAGAATAGTTTTTCTAATGAAGACTTTCCTACAAATTATCTGTGATACAGAAACCACATTTACTCTAGGGCATTAGAGTAAGAAAAAAATGCCAGCTAATAAAAATACCCAACAAGAGGCAGATATCCATTTTGTCCTAGAGAAAAGAAACAGTTAATGAGGTTTTCTACTAAGGTCAAATATTTAAAAAGTAGCAACTAAGTACAATGCAAAATCTGTTGTACTTACTTTATGTGACAGGTTTCAGAGTAACAGCCGTGTTAGTCTGTATTCGCAAAAAGAAAAGGAGTACTTGTGGCACCTTAGAGACTAACCAATTTATTTGAGCATAAGCTTTCGTGAGCTACAGCTCACTTCATCGGATGTTGTAGCTCATGAAAGCTTATGCTCAAATAAATTGGTTAGTCTCTAAGGTGCCACAAGTACTCCTTTTCTTTTTACTTTATGTGGTACAACACTTACAGATACTATCCTTGCTACTGTGAAATACTGTCTGTTCTCAGTGATACAATGTATTTTTGGGATGAATTCAAGTTGCAGCACAATTTCCAGAATTGTGAACATTTGGACCAATACTCAATTCTCATTCTGCAAAGAAGGACCAATCCTAGGGATCATACTGGGGAAATAGAGTCAGATATATCATCTTGATATTCTTTACCTGCCTGATACATGGAGCCCTTTAGTGGCTTCATTCAAACAGACATGATTAGGGCTCTCTCTAGCTCCCTGGAGTAGTGGTTCCCAACTTTTTTCTGTTAGAACACCTCTCTACTGCCAGTTCAGCAGATGTCATCTTTCCTTTCTCTCTGGCTATTTTCTCTCATTTCTCCTTTCCCATGTGCTTCCCCCCCCCCCTTCTTGTCTCTCTTTTCTGTATACTTTTTCTTTATTTACCCTTTTAACTTATTGCTCTTTTACATGTGCTGTGTTGGCTCTTCTTCCCTTATGCCCCGATACCCTCTTCCTTTCTAGTACTCTATTCCCCTTTCCTATGTCCTCTCGCACCAGAAGCCTTTATGCAGCTGTTGTGAGAGTTGTCGGTTGGTGAAACCCAGGGCTGAACAAGGGTCATGAAAGGATTAAAGCTGCTGCCTGAGCCTGACACTTGGAACCATACACAAGCGGCTCTTGCAATGTGCTCCATCAGAGTCCACAACAGAAGCAAAGAAGGAAGGGGAATGGCTTATAAGCTAACTATTGTTTTATCTTCAGATGCAACAGCACATTTGCAGAGAGAGAGAGAGAGAGAGAAAGAGTGAGAGTGTATTGGGGGGCATCTGGGTCCTACATCTTTCCCCACCCACACTAAACCTCTGCATTCATAACAACAAAAGAATGGTCACACTGCATCAGACCAATGGTCCATTGAGCCCACTCTCCCATCTTCTGACAGTGGCCAGTGCCAGATGCTTCAGGGGAATGAACAGAACAGGGCAATTTATTGAGGGATCCATCCCCTTTCATCGTGTCCCTAGCTTCTGGCAGTTGAGGTTCAGGGACATCCAGAGCATGGTGTAGTGCCTTTAGTACGAACCTCTATTATGGTATTTTAAAGAAGTTTCCATACAGCTTGCACGGATTTCATTCATGATTGTTCTTTTAATTTCCTCCTCATTTTTGTGTAGTTCCTCTTTTTGAAATTAAATGCTACCGTGGTGGGTTTCTTTGGTATTTTCCACCCTACAGGGATAAGTTTAATTACATTATAGTGGCTATTACCACGCAATTCAGCTACATTCACCGTTTGGACCAGATCTTGTGTGCCATTGAGGACTAACTCAAGAATTGTTTCTTCCCCGTGGGTTCCTAAACTAGCTGCTCCAAGAAGCAGTCATTAACGGTGTCCAGAAATTTCATCTCTACATCCTGTCTTGAGGTGACGTGTACCCAATCAATATATGGATAGTTAAAATCCCTCATTATTATTGAGTTTTCTGTTTCTGTAGCCTCTCCAATCTCCCTGAGCATTTCCCAAACACAGTCACCATCCTGGTCAGGTGGCCGATAGTATTTTTCTGCTGCTATATTCTTATTAATTCAGCATGGAATTGAGATTCTATGGTGTAGTTTGATTCATTTAAGATTTTTAGTATGTTTGAATCTATGCTTTCCTTCACATATAACGCCATTCCGTCACCAGCATTACCTATTCTGTCATTCCACTTAGCTAGTCTGCCACTCTCTATGGTTGGAAACACTAGCCTTGTTTGCTCACTAGAGCTGGCATTTTTTGACAGAATGTTTTTTCACTGGAAAATGCAGATCTGTCTAAATGTATTGGTTTCAATAAAACTTTTGTTCGGATGGGTCCTCAGGTCCAGAATGCAGTTTCTGGTCAGACACACCTCCCCACCAGTAGTTATAGCACTCTCCTGGGATGTGGGAGACACAAATTCAAGTCCCTGCTCTGCCTCTGGCAGTCTTTCCCACAACCCAGGTCAGTGCCCTAACCACTAGGCAAGGGGTGGGCAAACTTTTTGGCCTGAGGGCCACATCAGGGTTGGAAAACTGTATGGAGGGCCAGGTAGGGAAAGCTGTGCCTCCCCAAACAGCCTGGCCCCTGCCCCTTATCCACCCCCCTCAGAACCTCCGACCCATCCAACCCACCCTGCTCCTTGTCCCCTGACCACCCCCTCCTGGGACCCCTACCCCTAACTGCCCCCTGGAACCCCACCCCTTATCCAACTCCCCCTGCTCACTGTCCCCTGACTGCCCCAGAACCTCTGCCCAATCCAACCTCCTCCTTCTCCCTGTCCCCTGACTGCCCCGACCCCTATCCACACCCCTGCCCCGACTGCCCCCTGGGATCCCACACCCATCCAAGCCCCCCTGCTCCCTGTCCCCTAACCGTAGCTTGCCCACTTCTGTGCTAGGCCATAGTTCCAGTCTCTCAATCTGTCCTGTTGGAGCTGTTCCATTTTATATAAATATTTAAAGATTCATTGGCCCAGAATGTATCACAGCCGCTCTCATGTTTTTCATAAAATATTTCAAAAAGGTCTCTGATTCATTCCTATGTGGACCAAAAACCAAGTTCAAAACCACGAACATTTTCATGAAATAGATTTCTTGTTTTCCAGCCAACCCTAGCGCTCATACTCTGATACTAGGTTGTCTTCTCAGAAAGATAGAGGCCCATGGGCAGTGGCGACATAGGACCCTAACAAACCCTTAAAAAAACCCTGGCTTTTGGAGCCTAGCCTGGGGGTCAGCAGTAGTGGGAGAGGAATCTAGTCTTGTACCCAACGAGTTTGTGCTTGACAGACTAGTCGAGACAAAAAAACACAAGGGGAAGAGAACAATAATTATGAAGAAACAGCATTCTGGGTTCTGGTCTATCCTGGAATGGGAGTAATTAAGAGGGGTATATGTGTATGCATGCATGACAGCATGCATATTTGGGTGGGAGGAAGGTGGGAATTGTTGGGCAAATGAGAAATAAAGGGCAAGCTAGGGAGGATGTACTGGGGAAACACGGAAAAGGAGAAAATTAGGGATGGGCAAGAAAGTGAGAAGAGGAAACAGTAGAGGAAGAGAAAAAGAGAAAAGAGAACAAGAAGGATAAAAAAATATAAAGGAAAAGAGAAAGAGAATGAGAAATTAAAATAGTTCTTCCTAAATTAAGAATGACTTTTGCTTAAATGAGAACAAGTAGGAGGGTAATGCAGATAATTTTTTCCACACTTCCACTGTAATTAGTAGATATTTTGCTAAAAGAAATGTCTAGTGGGCTCAAAGATTCGATTGATTTCCTATACAGTGCAACTTCTGACCGACAAACTTGTACTCCATGTGAAGAAACCACTGTATGAAATGTCACACTTCCCTAATTTATCTCTGAATAAATCAATAGTGGATCTTTTTCTCTCTCTCTTCTTTCTTTTCTTTTCTTTTTTGCAACCAGAATCATTCACCTTGTTCTCCATCTGGGGAGAAAAACATGACCTCATTTGATCATGTGTTTTTTTTTTTTAAAAAACCTACACACATAGTTGGAATATTTAGACTATCGATATCCTCTTACGTTCTATCACACTGAAATTCATGTTAAGATTTACCATATGTTCACTTTTGAGTACGATCAAGTTTCCCTTGGCTTCCAATAAATAGCCATCTCTTCACATATAGCAGAAAAAACATACATACTCTTTAAGGGACTGCTCCAAATCCTTGGCTCGAAGAAGTGCTTCATCTCGCTCTTCATTGGCTAACCTAAGTCTAGCCATGACAGCTTCATCACGTTCTCGTTGAGCTGTATAAACTTCTTCCACGAGTGCTGCAAAATGACCAGTGTGTTTAGCACTGCTTTAGTTGTATCCTCACATGGGGCCCTATCTAACGCCTATAGAAATCAATAGTTTTTCCACTCATTTCAGTGTCCTTTGGATCAGGTCTTCACTGTACTTCCTATACAAAATATTTGCTAATGTGAAGATACCATAACAAGATTTTGCTTTATAGTTTTGAGAATATCAAAGTGCTATTGCTAGTTAACATACCTAGAGGAATAAGGAAGGGACAAGGTTTCAAGATTGACCTTCAAACTCATCACACAGAACAAGGAAACCATCACTTATTTGAAGCAGTGACTCTGAATACAAAGCTAATTCCTGATGCACACATTCATATCAGATACAACTAACCCCGTTCTCTTACAGCAAGACACCAAGTTAAGAGAAAAGATCTCCTGAAGGTGCTTTTAACACCACACTTTAACTAGCCCCAAAGTGGTGCACAATTTAGCTCTTGCACGATGCCTCTCTGGTATTACAAAGATAACATGGTCAGCACCCCTCTCTCCCTGTCAAGCCTTTACTTTATTGTTAATATATTGTTCTATTATCTGTTAAAGCATTCAGGGACCTTTGAGCATTAAGTGCCAATAAACTAAGATTTACTGTTAGTTTGCTCCCAAGGACAGAAATCTTCAAGTCATTCCTCACACTGGGCTTACTTTTTCTTCCTGCATCTCCCTTGTCAACATGGCTAACATCATCTCTAGTACACCGTCAGAATTCGTACCTCAACCCTGCTTCTGCTAAAATCTTTATTCACACACTTTCGTCATTCCCCCTCTCTAATATTGCAGATCTCTCTTTGCAGTCGTCCTAAATCCCTATTCTCAACTTCAGGGCACTCAGGACGCTGCAGTTAGACTACTCTTATTCCAAGGAGGACTATATCTTCTACCATGGCACTGGAATGGAATCTCCAAATTCAAATCAAAATTGTTTCCCCTGGGTCTCAAAGTTCTCCGTGGGCCCCTTTCACTCTAATGAACTGATCTTTAATTTCCGTAGTTCTCCTGCACCCAACTCTGACGCCTCCAAATGCTGGCATGTTTTCCAGTATTCTCAAGATTCTGCTGAGTCAAAGGCAATTGCATTTGTCCTTCCCCCTCTATCTGGAATTCCCTCCCATTCTCTGAGTCACGGATGAGTCATTTCCTTTCTTCAAGTCTCACCTTAAATAGATTCTGTTCACTTTAACCTAGAGCCAAATCTGCTGCTTTTTCTATCTTAGTTTCTTTTTTCCTGCTTCACCTTTGTACATTATTATTATGTCTGTATTAAAGTGGCTCCATCCAATTTACTATAAAGCACTTTATGATACTTCATGGGAATGGCACTACATAAAATTGTAATTATATTTTATAATACACTTTTTGCTTACTACTGCACTTATATCATTGGTACCAAATAAATACATTTACAAATATTTACAGAAAATATTCAAAAGACAAACTAGCAATAAAATGTCACTGCAGTCAAAAATACCAGAACAAACTGTTGCTCGTGACTAAATTTTGTTGAGAAAATACCCCATGATGAAATGTCATTTTTTAGTTATTTTTCAGAAGTTTTAATATATCTATACAGACATATTCAAGTACAATGACAAAGAAAACAGCAGGAGTATGGATTTAACACTATCACAGCATGAAATATTCACCGATAAATATTCCTGAGTGTTATAAGATAAATAATTCCTTAACAACCTCCCACCACAAAACTAAAAAAGTGGAGAAGCATCAGACACCTAATCTACCTGGATTCAATTGTAATACTCTCATTAAAGACCAAACATCTTCATAGTTGCATCTTATGTCTCCATAGATTAATGTCAGTTTTTCCAAGAGGGTGGTGTTGGTTTGGTCAGTTAGCCAATCAAAGAATGAAACGGGAAGAAGCTGATATCCATTTTCATAAAATGACTCTTTTGGTCACTAAAAGTGCTGCAGCAATTCATTTCCTGGCATTACTCGAGCAGGGAAGATCTAGAATGTCCAAACCACAGAGGCTTGACACAGGGGAAACTCCTACCCTGGTCACCCTAGATAGAGCATCACAAATGCCATGATTTCTACAGTTCTGCCTACTGTGCCATTAGGACTGTTCAATAAATGAGGTCATTTGAAGGGTTAACCACAAACATATCAAAACATTTCGATGAAAATGTAGTCTATACAATGAATACCCTTTAACTTGCAGATTCCTTGACCCCTTCCACGAGCAGCTTTGGCAGCTGAGAGATGTAGGACACTGGGGGAAGGTGTGGAAGAATTAATCCTGACAGATCATCTAGAAAGGAATTCTGGGTTGAAATACTTCTGTAACCCCTGGAGCAGAACCAGAAGCATTATTGGGAAGTGGATGAAAGGAGGAAGAAAGATGTGATTTTTGTGCTTCTGAGGGTAGGGTGAGAGGGCCAAGGAGAATGGGGACAGCTACACAAGTTGCTTCTAGGGGTATGGTCTACTCTCTTTTTCACGGTTGAAGAGGAGCCCTCAACTCAGTCACATTAGAGAGGTCACAGAAGATATATGCCAAATTGTGTTTCTGGCAGGAAAATAATTTCTGTATCATAAGAAAAACCATACCCGATTGTCCAAGAATATTCTGCCCAGATTTGGAGCATCCATTAAATACTCATTTAGATATCTTCAACCTGAATATTGTTTGGTGGCAAGAGGAAAAGAATTTTTCTGCTGCAGATGGATGTAGACACAACATCAGACGATACCTGTCTCTTTGTGAGATGATATCCTTGCTACTGTGCAGGGATAAAGTTAGGTGAATGGGCAGAGCGTGCAGCTCCAGATCTACACATGTGATTTGGAGATGACAGAATTAGTAGCACATGCGGAGAATGATTCTGACATCTGGACAGTTGTGTGGCGCAGATAAGCACTGTGTCCTTACACCTATCAGGTTCCCAAAGGGACATAAGATTTCTGAAATTTGTGATGGCATCACGATGCCAACTGCAGAGGCTTACATTAGAGCCTCTGTGTCTCTTGCTGAACTCACTTGGCTGGTTGTAGAAGCCTTATATGCCATCTGCCAGATTTCTCTGCTGACCAGATCATCTACTGATTCTACATACATATTTTCATGTTCAACATTCATTTCTGACCATAGCAGATCAGTTTTAGTATTCATAAATTTAAAAAGTTCTACAATTATATCAATATTTCTTTTTAAAAATCCTTTAATTTCATACAGGGTGCAATTATTTTGGTAGCTAAATGGGCTGAGAAATTTATTTTCACAGCAACAATCAACATTTTAAAGAGTTATTGATATGTCGTTGTAGCGGGGTGGCCACCCTGCTCCTAAAACAGAAGGGGTTAAAAGCAGCCCTGGAGAGGGCTGTGGCTGGGGATGGCTGATTGGGGAAGCAGCCGCAGCTCGGCCATGCCCCAGTCAGGCCCCAGCTGGCCTGTATAAAAAGGCTGTGAGCCAGAGGCCCAAGGAGTCTCTCTCCAGGCTGGGAGAGAGCAGGGCCTGGCTGCCTGCCTGCCTGACAAGGTACTAAGGGTGGTGCAGTGCTGGGGAAGAAGCAGGCTGAGCGGGGGCTGGTGATGACTGGCAGTAGCCCAGACTGAGGCAAGGTGGGGATAGTGGATTGGGGGTTCCCCAGGAAGGGGAGACCCAGAGGCAGAGTGTGGGGGTACTGCCAGGGGCACCGGGGTCTGTGAGGGACAGAGTGGCCAGAGCTGTGCGGATCACTGGCCTGCAGAGGGTGCTCTGGGGCTGAAAGAGCTAATTTCCAACAACCAGAAGGAGGCGCTGCAGGGGTGTGTCAGCTCCTTTACAGTCGTGTATAGAAGTACAGCCCCACTCCTACAAGCTACTTGGCAAAGGCAGACTCCTGCAGCTGCACAGAGCCCTACTGAGTTCAGGAGAGCTGGAGGATAAGACTGTAATTCTTCAAAGTTAATAACGAAGAGAAACACCCAACTGTGCAAAAAAAACCAAAAAATCTCCCACCCACTATCAAGCTCATATTTGAAGATAAATAAGCAAAAAAAGATTTTTTTCTAGAACTACCCCTGCATGAATGTGCACAGAGTGTGGAGCAGGGGACAAGGTATGCCTTCCCTCCCCCAGCTCCAATGGAGGGGTTGAGCTAATCTCAGTCCTTGTGATCCTATGGGGACTAGGACTGAATGACACCAGTTACCCCACGGATGGCCCGGAGGAGCCATGGCCACACCCACTCCAGGGGCAAGGCACACTGAACCCTCACATGCCATTGCGGTGGCCATGCTACCTGTGTCCATTGGAGAATTCTGGGAAGCATTATGTCATTTGTAAGTGGCTTATACTTATCACCTTCCTTTATCGAAAACAGCTCTATAAATAAGGACCAAAAGAGTGAAGAGGGAAAAGAGAGTATTTTTATATAATTTAGCATTCTGTTACAGAAAAATACCACTATCAGCAATACCACATCTTTCAACCAGAAGGATCTCAAAATGCTTTACAAACTTTATAAAGAAATCATCACCCACTGAAACACAGCCACCTCTGGAGTGAAACAGAACATCTGTTTAACAGCACAACATTTTAATGCTATATTTAGGACAGGATCTGAAGAATGAGAGTCCAAATAAAACTCCTTGGGAGATATTTTGACAGAAAGGATGCAGTTATCCAGGTTGGAACATCAGGATCCACAACCCTATCTATGCTTATGAAAAGTGTCATGGGACTGTGAATGAACATAAGCAATCGGGTTCTTATGTCCACTACAAAAGATGGCACCTCCAGCAGCACAATGGCCCATAGTTCCATGCTAGCACACTAATTCGGTGCCTGACTCTAAGAAATGAGAACCAGCTACTTAATCCACCCTCCTGGGTTTTCCATGGAAGCCTGCCATTGAAGTACCAACCAACCCTCCCCTGTTTATCTCAAGAGCTGACCAACAAGAATAAAATTTTGTATACAATTTCCCCCCTTGAAACATGATACATGAACTGAACATGTA